ACTAACTTAACTACTACAAGAGAAAAAAAAAAAAAGAAAAAAAAAAAACTCCACAGAGCCACAAACAGATCTAACAGAAAATGCTTGTTTAAAAAAAACTATAGTCTGGAATTTTAATCACATTAATAATCAAATAATGCAATTATGAATTTATTTTCTAACAAATAAATGCATGTCTCATATCATATTATACTTACCTTCCCCCACTAAGAGAAAAGGTTAAATGACATGCAATGGAAGCAATTATCTGAACTCAGTATTTTGCTCCAAGTATATCTTTCCTTTAGCAGAGAGAAACAATAGGAATTAGAAATTTCTTTTCTGTATCTCCTAGTGTTTCATCTGATATAGGTGAACAAATTCCCATCCAACAGTTCAAATGATATACTGTCCAAAATTTTTCATAAGGTTACAAAAATAAAGTTTTTTTATGATACAAGTAGACAAATTACAGCACATGATTAAATCCTTCAGTCAAAGACAGAATCAGTAAGATGGCAAATTGAGTAACTAAGAGTTAAAGACAAGAATCTGAAGTAGTAAAGCACAGTCATTTATACCTGAGAAATAAACTGCTACCATTAATTCAAGCAATTTATTAAGTAACAGTTCTCCAGAAAGTTAAGCCCAACAAAAAAACAATTTAAAAAAAACAACTTTTGGTAAGGAGTAAAAGAATCATGCTTAAGTACTTTAAAGCCAATCAAAAGAAGCAATTTTCTCCCCCAAAGAATGGTGATAATCACACATTGGAAAAACATAAGCAATGGTTAAAAGAAGGATTTAACAAGCTTATTCTGTAGTGGATATAGTCTCCTTATATACTGACAAAAATTATCTTTGACCACTGTGAAACCCAAATAATATTTTCAAAGTATTACCTGGAAATTTACTCTCCCCTGTATCAACTTTTGCTTGATTAAGCAGAGCTGAAACAGTAGTGGTATTTTCCAATGGATTGTTTTCAAGCTTAGATTCCAAACACAGGCTGCAATCCTAAGCACATATAATTCAAAATGTTAATACTTGCTTTATTGTATCAACTTTGCATCTTATCCCAATACACTTTCAGTGAATTTTAGCAATACACTAAGAAAATTTAAGATAACACTTTATATATGGAGTAATTCACATAAGTATGGTTTAGAACTCTCTTTATGATCTCCCCACAAACTACCACCTCAGCATCAACTCCTATTACTCCCCTTAGTGACAGACTGAAAAGTTCACCTCTCCCCTGGATATATTCTATATTTGCATGGCTCTATACTTATTTCTGAGTTTCATCTACCTAAACCTGCACTATCTCATGTAATAGCCACTACAACATCTCATTACAGAGCACTTAAAATGTGGTTAGTACAACTGATTTGAGATTTATTGTAAATGTAAATCACCAGATTTTGAGGTACTAGCACCAAAAAAAAAAAAGCAAAAAATCTCATTATTAAAATTCACAGCATGCTGAATAACAGTATTTTATAAGTTAAATAAAATATATTAATTTTACCACTTTTTTCTTTTTTAATGTGACTACTAAAGATTTCTAAACAACTTATGTGGCTCACATTATATTTCTACTGGATAGTGCTGTTTAGAACACCTTACCCAGTATATAAACTCAAGTCACTACTTAAATATTAACCCCTTCCATGAAGCCTCCTCCAAGTTTTCCCATTCCTTCCCCCGAATTTGGAGTAATCGTCCATCTACTTCATCTCTACATCTTTTATGCCCTTATCACTTCCTATTTTGAATTAGTTTCTGAACTTAATTAGTTTTTGAATTGTTTTAAACTCATCTCTCATAACTCTTAAGAGGAAAGGCCATTACTGTATTTATTTTTGTATTCCCAAGTGCCCCTAAATCAGAACCCTGTCAAATCAAACACTCAATAACTATCAAAAGAAAATACTACAAATTCTATCAGCGTTAGCTATTTCAGAGAAATGGAAATGAGGAAGTAAACAATTAACTTTCTGTGTGTATCTGTATTGTGAGTTGAAAACTCACATGAACATGTAACATTATTTTTAAACATTACATTTTTGAAAAAATGAACTCCTCTGTCATTAAAAAGCAGAAAATTAAAAACAATAACAATGATGTATTACTTATTAATCTCCATTAGGAAGTTAGTAAATTACTAGTTTAAAAAAATCATGAAGTAATTGAGCTTTAAAATTCATAAAATCCAAGTAACTTAAATTCAGCCCAAAGAATTCATAGAAGTCCTAACAGATACTTAAACAACCATCATCATTACTCAGTACTGCTGAGACTCACATATATAATTAAAAAAGCAAAATCACACGTAGCCACAGAAAATGTTTTCAAATGATGTATAAGGTTGGTTTTTATACTCTTTACCTCTCCAAGTATAAATTCAGCTAGACTCTGAAATCTAGCCAATCTCAGTTTAAATCCTGACTCCATCACTTAAAGTGTTATTCATATAAGTTACTTAAATGTTACTTAACTAAATTACTTAAATCTCTAAGCCTCACTGTTCTCACCTTTAATATGTGGATAATAGAACTCCACAGTGTAGCTGTGGAGACAATTATATGAAGCTCTCCTTTGCCTAAGAGGCAGTGTTCATCAAACAAAAGTTATTATAATGGTTGAACTAAGCTATCTCACTTCTTAGTGTTTTTGGAAAGAAGAGAAATCTCTAGGTGACAACCACAATGTGAACTCCTTACAGGCAGGAAACAGATCATCTTCTGAAGCTTTATTAGCACAGTGTCTTGGACACAGCAGGCACTCAAATATGTCTTGAACTGCTATGGTCACTACCTTATTTCCTGATCACTCTGTGATAGTAATTACATTGTTGACTTCAGTGAAAGTTGGAAAAACCTAAAAGTGCTTTAACAGAGGAAGACATAATCTACTATATTCCTTTCCAGTAATTAAACTATCCATGTATCACTAAATACCAAATATGTTGATTGCACAGTCAAGTTGCTATATAAATATATATACATATATATATAAATACACAATGTTAGCATTTATGTGAACATTTAAAATACAAAGTGCTAAGTATTCTTTATATATATATATATATATATATATACACACACATAGACACAGTGAAATCATAAAATAAAAACTGAAAAGATCCATATCAACTTTAGGAGCAAGTTTAACTCTGGGAAGAGAGGTGAACGGAAAGTAGAGGGAAGTATGGTCTTTATATGTGTAATATACTTTTATTTTAAAAGATCTGAATACAATAAAATGTTAATTTTTGTCAAATACGGGTTGTAGACACAAGTATAATATTGGTATTTACATTAAATACTAACACTATGTGAATAACTGCCTTCTAACTGATGCATTCATTCCCATTTGTACAGAAAATAAAATCTAAGAGTAACATTTGCTATCTGTCCCCTTTACGTTCACGCTGAATTTCAGAAGATGAGAATAGACAATGATCTATTTGTCAGGTTTCTGACATAAAGCCCTGACTCCTCGTTTACTTAAATTTGCTCCTAGACCCAAATGCCCCTAAAGAGAACTTTAAAGCACTCCTACAACTTTAAAGTGACCTAACTTTTTTCTCTACTCATGATTTCTCAGAGAATGTCACCGTAAAAAGAATGATGGGCTGAGAATTAGAACACCTGGATTCTAATCTATTTGCGCTATCAAACAGGTGACCTAACCCACATTCCTTTATTGATCTCAGTTCTCATTATAAAATTAAATAACTGAAACAAACTGGTGGAGTTTTGAAAAACCTGTATTACAGAGCTCTAAAATTCCATGCATATAAACTTTCTGCTCATTGGTTTTATATACTGATATTTTACCTATAATTTAATTTGGAAAGAAATGGGCTCAAGCTGCTCTTACAAAATTTCAAAACTATTTCCTCAGATAATCCTTAGTTTCTTTCAGATATTTAGATTCAGTTTTTCAACTTACTTTTCCATTTAAAAAATTCTCGGCCACTACAATTTTGTTCTTAGCTTGAGGACTGAATTATTCACATCTTTCAGACATTTTATTTGCCAACTGTTCAAAATGGCCACACAAGTCAAATAAAAAGGCATCTCTACTACTAGAAGTGTTTAATTTTTAAATTTTATCAAGTGGGAAAAGCTGATTTGTGCCAGGTGAAATTAATTTTAACAACTTGGTCAGAATCAGGCTCAACTTTAAGTTCTACACTGTAGTCACTATGAAACGTAGCATCTGTGGTTACAATCAATAGAAAAAGGAAACAAAATTCATATGTTAAAGGAAAAAGAAAAGCTAGAATTCAACAGCTTCACATAAGCTAGAATTTGTCTGGCTTCACATAAAACAAAAATGAAGTGTGAAAATGAGGAAACAATGACAAGCATTCATGTATATGTGAGAGATCTAAAGGAGTCAGGAAGTTCTATCACTCACCACAAGACTGGGTTAATAAAACTCCTGCTAATGACTGAACAGGATTCCTTAACAAACAACTCTTCAGTCTTTTATGACTCAATTCTTAAGCTAAAATATGTTGTAAACACTTACTTCTTATCAGAAAGTACTCAGACACCTCTATGCATGTATGAAAATAGATTACCTTATCTGGTGTTGATTGAAAAGAATCTTTCATCTGGTTATCCAACGGTGGGTCCGGAGGTGGTTTTATTTGATTATCCAAATGACAATTTTCAGGAGGCCTTTTTGTGGCTTTATTAATTTCAACTGTAGTATCATTAATTTTAACTTCTTCAGAATTAATTTCTTTCATTTCTTCCCGCTGGCAAGCTTTATTTTTGTCATCATGTGGTTCTGATCCTAAAAATGTACCATGAGTCACTGGATGATGCATTTCTAATGCTGGTAGTGAAAAGCTGGTTTGTAATAAGCCCAATTTAGGGGCAATTTGAGAGTCTAATTTATTTTGCTGCACAGAATTAAATTTTGAGAGTTTAATTTTAGTCCAGTTGGAGTTCTTTTTAGTTGAGCTGTTAATTCCATTTAGTATACATTTCACGGGCTTTGTTTTTCTACTGGGGAAGAAACGATTACATTGAACATCCTGATTTGTTTCCTTCTGATGAAGTATCTGTCTTTCAGTATCAGTCTCTTCCAATTTTATTTCTGTAGGCTTCTCCTCCTTTGTATTTTCCATTTGTGAAGATTCCTTTTTTACCTCTACAGTATCTGACTCAATTTCACCAGCAATTTCTTCACAGAGCTGGAGAATGCTCCCTCGTTTGCTCTTTCCTGCTTGTTCCAGCTCTTTATCTACACTTTGTTCAGGCACTGATGGCTGTGAACTTTTTTGGGATTTTGCACTAGTATTCACTTGTGTGTGAACTGACTTTTTCATCTCATTCTTTTTAGAGACCACTGAAGTAGCCTTTTTTGACCTTTTTATCTCAGAAGTTGTTACAGGCACAGGTTTTGTTTCCTGTTTTCTAGTATTCTGAAGACACTTTTCAGATCCTTTTATACACTGAGAACTACAAGGATAAGCTGTCTGATGCTCTACTTTGCGTTTTTTTCCTTTTGGGGAATTTATTACTTCATTAATTACTGAATTTTCATCCTCTTTAGAATCAGACTTTATTTCCAATACTTTTCTTTTCACATGTTTCTGATTTGTTTTAACTTTATTAGATTTACTTTGAGTATTGCTACAGTGCTCTTTCCTTGCTGATGGCAAACTCTGTTTAACTACTTGAACTTGACCTTGAATTTCTCTGCTACGCAGAGACCTTGTTGAAACCTCTGTTAACTGTTGTAGTCTTTGTGATCTCCGGTTAAGCTGTTCATTTGATTTAGGGGTTTCGTGCATTGATTTTTTCTGAGATAATTTCTTCTTTTTTATAGATTCTTGTTGTGAATGTCCCTTTACAGTCACCATATTTTTATTAATGGATTTACTAGCTTTTTTACCACTGGATGCTGACCTTGTACTCATACATGTTCCTAATTCAGGTTGATTTATTTTATTTTCATTGGAAGATTTAACTAGTGATTGTATAGCTTCCTTTGGACCTGATTTTTTTGCTAGACTCTTTTGAGAACCTTGAATTTCTGATTCTAGATTCTTATCTTCGCTCTTTTTAATAACACTGGAGGAATTTTCTTTTGATTTCTCCTGAATGGACATCATTCCTGAGTAAGGTCCTCCTTTTCTGAGTAGTTTTGGTGTCCTGACAGGTGTAAATGTTGAATATCTAGAATTATTACTGAGGAGCAGATCCTAAAAACCAACTTCAACTGATACTGATACACATTTTCAACAAAAATACTAGTTTGCTAAGATTTATGTCATCCCTGTGACATCAAAAAAGCTGGCATGAAGGCTGAAAGATATTTGCTTTACTTTAGACAAGGCAATAGAAATTTGAGGAAAATTTAAATCTAATCTGATATTTTTAGGACTTTTTATTAAAAAATTTAATTCAAGTTTGATTTATTAATTTTTCAATTAATATTAGTTTTTAGGCCTAGCCCTATTACTGGAGGAGTTATTTATCACTGATCTGTCTGTTTTGACAAAGTTTTTGAAAACTTTTTTCTTCTGAAGTCTACAGTTACGGGCCTTTGAGTCTCTGGAAACATGTCTTACAGCTAACACGTTTCTTTCCTTGTTTGCTGAGTCTGTTGGTTTAAAGTTCTTATCTAACCTCTTCTGTTTAATAAAATACTCTATTAATATAGATATCCTTTTGTGCTGCCATTTCTGAAAAATTAAAAAAAATTAAAATCAACTTTTGTACAATCCAAGAAATACAGCAATGCTAACATTATACAGAAATAACTATGATTTACATAAAACCTAACTTCTCTTTCTGAATTTAAGACTAACAGAAAAAAGTATCCCAAGTAAATCCTTATAAATAATTGATAACTTGTCTTATATAAACAAAGAATAGTTGAAAATCAGTCTTTTTTTTTTGAGGTTACTTACAGTTCCTTTCCCACAAGACAGAATTGACCTTTTAGCCACCATAACTCATGAAACTTTGACAAAATCATTCCTTATAATTTCCTTTTAACACATTACACAGCACCTAAAAGAAAAAGTATTTAAAACGTTTAAAAGGTACAAAGGAAAGATGTAACTATTCATTTACTTCTCATCAAATCTATTAATCAATATGTCATAATTTTACACAGTCCTACCGTTAATCTTCAGAGCTCAATTTACACATGGTACATAATTTTATTATTTCTAATATGAAGTAAACTATGGTACATACATCCAAGGAAATAAATTTTTCTATTTCATTGATGAAATCCATTTTATGTGGTAGAAAAAAGTTTTAAAATACAAAAAACAGTTAATAATACAGACATAAAGTAAAACTCTATTTGTGCACTGAGGAAAAACAGTGCACGAATAACCATATACACAGAAAAAGGGTGACACACAGTTAAAAAGGCAGATTTAAACACATATCTACCTCTCATTAATATCCACTAAAAAAAGCAATAGATCAAAACAAAACCATAAACCCAAAGGATAAAAGAACAAAAGTATAGATGATAAAAATAAAAAGCACAGAAGCTACAAAGGACAAAGGACAAATAATTAACCTCCAGATGCAAGAAAATCTGATCCTAAACTAGAAATGAGTAAAACCAAACGAGAAGCAGCTCTACCACAGAATCTCTCAGGAAGCAGAAATTGGCAGTACCAGGTTCCAGAGATGGGGAGGAAAATGAGACTCAAAAAAGGAGAAAGACTCCCAGACTGCCATTCCAATTAATACCACCCAGAAGACTACCCCTGCAGCACTCCCTAAAGACTAGTATACATTTTTGGAAAGTTGCTGGGGGGAAGGTCTTTAGCCTTGGGGCTCAACAGTCACAGCTGAGGGAAGAAGTATCATGCTGACAAGAGAAAGAGTAAGTACACATACTGATTACTGAAAGGCCTTCCACCCAAAGGCCTCTGCATACTCAGAGTCTCCCAGAGGACAGCAGCCAAGCCTATGCATTGTAGGAAGGAAACTAAAAGATCATTTTCTAATAAATTTGACAAACCTAGAGAAAAGACCTAAAAAATGCTGATAGGGCCCACAGTCATTAAGCACGTACCCACACACACCCACACTCTCCCTCCCTTCTCCACAGGCAGGAGACTACCAAACCAACCACGATTCAAACACACAGTTTTACTTTTTAGTGTCTCACTTGTAACTATGAGCAGATAAATAAGAATCACTACATACATGAGGAAAACCTTAAAATGAAAAAAGGAAATAAGTAGCTTGGGAGACACAAACAATGCACAAATACTAAAAATAAGCTAATTTACTCATGAAACAAATATACAACAAAAATTCATAGTATAAAATGGAACTCTTGAAAATTAAAAATATAAATTTAAAAGTCAACAGAAGCATTAGGAGACAAAGGTAAGAATATCTCCTATAAAGTAAAACAAAAACAGCAAGATGATAAATAGACAAAAAAGAAAAAAGGACCATCCACGGAGACAGTCCAGTAATTAGGGTTTTAGAAAACAGGAAAAGCACTGAAAAAAATCAAGAACTCAAGAAAGTTTCCTAGAATTGAAAGACATGAATTTCCAGATTAAAAGGGCCAAAAGCACAATGGATGAAAGAAAGATTTTAGAAAGTTTATCATGAGGACGAAAAGATGACCTTCAAGCTTCTAGAGGGGAAAAGACCTTGACCATATACAGAAGATTAAAAATCAAAATTACATCAGATCTCTCAACAGCAAGAGCAGAAGAGAGATAATGGGAAAATCCTTCAAAGTGCTAAAAGAAAATTATGTCTAATGTAGAATTCAATGCCCCAAAAATAGGATATTTTCAGACCTATAGGGCTTCAAAAACTTTATCTCCCACACATCTAAGGGCTATTAGACAAAGTGTACCACAAAATGAATAGGTTAAAATTATTCAGAGGAAGAGGACAAACAAGGGAGTTCAGAAGAAAAAAAAAAGGAAAACAAGAAAAGATAACCTGTGTGCCTTTACTGAAGTTCATATAAATAAGTTATTTTTTAAAATAATCACTATTCATAATACAGATATATTTATATAGCCACTCCTGATTCTCTACTTATGACAATAAAAGAAACAAGCTGGCAGTTGAAGAACTGAGAATATTTTCAAATATATCTTCTCAATATCAAAAACTTCTGGAGTGTACAAACCAAAAACACAAGTATCAACCTATATGCAGTGACACAAAAAGTCTCCCATTAAATTCAGCAAGTATTTTTTTTAAAGTGTTGCATAGGTGACATGATTAAAGAGAAAGATGAAAAATCTGAAAATTTATTTGCAAAAAAAAAAATCCAAGATAATCAACAGAAAAATTGGTATGTGAATTTAGTAAGGCAAATAGGTAAAAAAAAAAACAAAAACCTTAATTCAAAAGCTTTAAATAAAGAACAATCATATGAAATATATAAAAGAAAATACCAGATACTAGTTACAATAACACACATACAAATCAACGTAAAAAGTTATGTGGTATATACACCTGTAACTTACATAAAATTTTACATCAACTGTATTTCAATTTTTAAAAATCAGAAAAAGTAATACGGTGTAGATTCATGCTTCCTGATACTAAAATACAGTTAGCTGTAACAAAATTAATCCTAATACATCAACAAAGAGATTAATAGAACAGAACAGACTCCAAAAATATGCCCAAATGCTTAAGGGAATTAAGTGCATGAAAAGATGGTATTAATTTCACTAATTTCAATTTAATGAAAAAAGATTATTCAACAATTGGTATTAGGACAACTGGGTAACCCTCTGGATAATTCTGGTTTAAGAATAAGGTAATATCCAGGACAAATTAGTCATTAAGAATTGAAACAAGGAGTTGAGCCAAGATGGCGGAGTAGAGAGACTCACAGATCACCCTCTCCCACAAATATACCAAGAATTACATCTACAAACGCACTGAATCACACAGAACACCTACAGAACGCTGCCAGTGTCTCTTGCTTTGATATAAATACAGGATTCTCACAAAATCCATTAAATGACAAGTTTATACTGTATAGCACAGGGCATTATATTCAGTATTTTGTAGCACCTTATGGTGAAAAAGAATATGAAATGAATATATGTATATTTCTATATGACTGAAGCATTGTGCTGTACAGCAGAAACCAACACAGTGTAAACTGATTATATGTCTATAAAAAAATTTTTTTAAAGAATTAAAACATAAAAACAGATTAACATGTGGGAGAATTTTATTGTTTTCAAAATGGAAAAAGCTTTCAAGCCTTGTGTGAAAACTAAGTCAAGTTTGGGGGAAAAACTGGAAGAAAAAATACTGGCAAGGAATAGCATAAGCTTACCATCATAATATATTCACCAGAAATAAACCACAGATGGCTGGTGTGATAATATCAGAATAATATAAATTAGAACTGAATCAAAATACCATTTTTCACCTATCAGACTGGCAAAAGATTAAGAAGTTTAACACAGTCTTAAAAGTCTGTGACATTGTTACTCTGTCTGTTGAAGATGATTCAATGTCTATCAGGACAATTTGTCAGTATCAACACTATAAATGCTAAATTTCAAACAATTTCATTTCTAAGACTTTATGTTACAGACAAACTTGCACAAGAGCACAAAGACATAAGTAAATAAACACTGCAACACTGTTGGGGATAGTCAGTCTATTGATACAAACAGCCATCACTATAAACTGCTTTATAATTAATGATACATTCATGCAACTGAATATCATACAATCATGTCAAAGCAGAGATAAGATTCAGGCAAAATTCCCAAAGGCTTTTTATACTGGAATTGACAACCTGACTTTAAAATTTATGTGTAAAAGCAAAAACCATGTACAGTAGTCAAAGCCATTAAAAAAATTTTTTTTTGAAATACTGATACTATCCAATTTCACAACTTACTATAAAGGTACAATAATCAAGACAAAGGGTCACAGAGATCAATGGAAGAGAATCCATAAACAGACCCAAGTGATTTTCGGCCAAAGTTCCAAGGCATGTCCACGGGGAAAAGAAAAGTCTGAAAAAAAAGTGTTGGAACTACTGGATATCCAATGTCGCGGGGGTGCGAGGGCAGGGAACCACACCATCAACGCTTACCTCACACAACACACAAAAATAATCTGAGATTGATCACAGACATAAATGTAAAACTAACACTCTAGAAGGAAAAAAAGGCAAAAATCTTGGAGACTGAGTTAGACATAGTTTTTTTTGTTTGTTTTTTTTTAAGGAGGGAATTCTACTCATTCCACATAAAAACTTGTCCAAAAGTCTTCAAAGCAGCTTTACGTACAATAACTGAAATCTGAAAACAACCCATAAGTCAGGTGAATGGATAAACAAAAATACGGTATATCAATATAATATGTAACTACTCAGCAATCAAAAGGAACAAACTACTGGAACCATATGGATGAACTTCACAATAATGGGGCTGAGTGAAAAAAGCTAGACCCAAAGAATACATAATGAATGATTCCACTTTTTAAGAAATTTTAGAAAAGGCTAACTTATCTACAGTAACTGAAAACAGATGAGTCATTGCCTGGGGTCAGGAGTGAAGGGAGAGATAGACTTTTAGAGGTAATGGAAATGATCTGTATCTTGATTGTGATTCCAAGTGTGTAAATCTGTCAAAATCCACCAAACTGTACATTTTAAAAGGGTGCAGTTTATTACACATAAACCATAATAAATCTGTCCAAATATAGAACTATAAGTAACTGATACGGACCTACAACAGAGAAACAATGTTAAAACCAAATAAAGCAAGGTGCAGAACAGGGTGTACTTCCCTTAGTGTAAAAGCAGAAAAGGGAGACAGTGGGAAAACGGAAAGGTGCAGAAATATGCTTATGCACACAAAAGATAAGGAAGGATACACAAGAAACCAGTAATAGTGAAGACTTCTGAGAAACAGAACTATGGGACCAAGCGTCAGAAGTGTGGAAAAAAACTTTTCACTATATACCCTGTTTTATTACATAAAATATAACCTTGTAAAAAAAAATTACAGGGTGGTGGGTATAGCTCAGTGGTAGAGCGCATGCCGAGCACACACAAAGTCATGGGTTCGATCCCCAGTACATCCGTTAAATAAAAAATAAACAGTAATAAATAAATAAACCTAATCTGCCCCCCAAAAACTAAAAATAGTTACATTTCTCTGAAAATATTAAGCATATTTATATTAAGCACACTAATAATCTTCATAGGCACTAAAATGCAATAATATAAGCCACTTACCTTACTGAAATAAAAATCACATATAACTTTTTTCTTCAAGTTGATGGATGATGCTTTTAATAACTTCCTGGGTGTTTGGTTATTAATCTTAAAAAAAAAAGAATTCTATAGCTAAAGTAAAACAGTCTACTAAAAAGCATGAGAATACAGAAACAGTATTGTCCATTAACTGCCTATTAACTATTAAAACAACTTGGATTAAGCTAGACAAAATAAACAATGGCCTAGTGAGGATTTTTCACTACTAATACATTAAAAAATTATGAGGTCCAAAATAGTCACCACTTCATTTTTTAAACTATATACAACAGATTTGGTTTTTCTTCAAAAATAACCACCACCTTCTACCCAAACTACACTTCCACAGAAGGAGTATATTTTCCTTCCCAACAGATGCTGAGCTGGACCACATGTCTTGCTTTGCCTTCATGCTGGACACAGCATGCTTCCTTGCCCCAAGAGTGTTGGCCATCTGATGATTCGGCCAATGGGATGTTAGCAGAAATGATACAATCAGAGGTCTGAAATGTCTTTGTGCAGCTGATCTTGCCCTTGTTACCTCTGCCATCACCATGCGAAGAGTTTCAGCAGGTAGATGCTGTACCTTCATCCTAGGCCCCCAAATAAACACAAACAGTAGAACCAAGCCAAACCCCAAATGAGGTGCCAAGCCCCATACACAGTGAGAAGTAAAGCTCACTCATACTCACAACTAAATCTAAGTCTAACCCACAGCAGCTCTGCAGATGTATAAACAAAAATAATTAATTGCTGTTTTAAGCCACTGAGTTGTAGGGCAGTTTCTCACACAACAATAATACACACTGCAGTTAAATTTTCTAGGAAGCCTCAAATTTACCTAAGATTAAATCTCAGAGGTACAATAATTTGGGGGAAAAAAAAAAGCTTACTTAACTTCCTTGTGACTTTAGTGTCAAGAATTCTAATTTTGAAAGTGATAAATTACCTTACTTTACTTCTTTTCCTACCAATTTCTAAATATTTTAACATTTGTCAACTGGGATCTACCACAGAAAAGAGGTAAAGTGATACACAAATCTACAGTAGTTGTCACTCACCTGGGCAGGTATGCTAAGGATTACGTCACTTTAGTTTGCCCTACATATTAAATCATCATTAACCTAGCATTATACAACTTAATAACACCTCTATTAAATCTATTAAATAAAATCTTGCCGTCAAGGACCTAAATGCACTCTCTAACCTGTTAACAAAATGACAAGATCCCTCCACAACCCAGAGCTAGTTTATTAATATAATTCTAATGAAATCAATGTTGGGCCCCAAAAACAATAATCAAACTTTACATAAAATGACCACTTTGGAAAACCCATAATATCATTTATTTAGAAAGATAATTTACAAGATACATGTTAGAAAGTACCTAAAAATGTAAGAGTACATCCAATTTCCCAACAGTACTTCATAATAAAATATACTCAAATTTTAATCATTAAAATACTAAGCTTATACTTTTCTTAAGTATGATTTCTTATGATATAAATTAAAATTTCCAAACATCTGGGCACTTTCAACTTACAATTTTGTTCATTTCTAGTATAATGCATAACTGAATCACTTTGCTGTACACCTGAAACTAACATTGTAAATCAACTACACTTCAATAAAAAAAGTAAATTAAACAGTCTTTTCTATACAACCCTAAGACTATTTTGCCCAACCTGCTCTGTATTTCAAACACCACTGGAAACTTAAAGCCATCTCAAGGTATAGTAATTCTGTCAAAAGATTTACTGCAGAATCTAGCTCAGCACACCTCTCAATCTCAAAATAATTTACTAAAGAACTACTTCCCCAACTACTACAAGACTCTTCAGTTTCATAACATACTGACGCAAATTCAGAAAGCTATCCAATCAGCTGGGAAAGATCTCGCTTCTGAGATCACAGGATAACTTCTCAGCAATAATCAGTTTGAACCTGGCACAAAGTAAAGACTGTAAGGTCTACAGCATCAGACTTCTCACAGTGAAGACACTCAACTTGCAAAGACCAAGTCTAAGGCCCTAGAAGCCATACACACCCACCAACCATATGCAAGGTCCTCTTATTGGTTATCTTTTCCTTTATTATCTTCCTCCTAACTCTCCTTCCACTGTTTATCTCCCCTTTTCTTAACCCTTTCCTTTGGGAACCCACATGAACCCTTCCCCAGTGAAAATAAGTTTTCTACTTTCAATCTCTTCACATAATACAAATTCTACTTCCTAGCTTTAATTGAAAATTGGGTCTAAGTATTTCTAAAATGTCCAATAAATACTTAGAGATTAAAAAACATTTTAAGCAACATAAACTAATTACTACTAACCAAAAACATAAAATGACCCAACTGAGGCAACAATAAATCATTAATTTATTAGAGAATGCGATAGAAACACACACAATAACACAAAGTATTGTCCCTAACAAATTTTTCCAAACATTCAAAGACTAAATCTCTGTCTTACACTAGATTTATAATAGGTATTCAGTAAAACTGAGTATTCTCAACATTAGTTAAACACTAAAAAAGACAGACATGGACAATTTCATCTTTTAAATTCTCTTCCTCAACCAGCCTCTAACAAATTAGCATTTCCCCAAGATTTGTCCTTCTACCACAAAAGACAAGTATTAGATAATTTCACCTATACTCATACTTTCAATTACTACCTGTAAACTGTTAACACACAAATGAGTATCCCCAACACGGATGTCCATCCCTACTGCTACTCGGGTATCTAACAACATACTGGACATCTTCATCCTGTTGTCTTAAAGGCACCTTAAATTCAATTGTCAAAGAGTCAACTCATTCCATCACGTCCATTCTCCACAATTTATTACACTAGCATCCATCCACATAAAGAAATTTTCAAAAAAAAAAGAGAGAGACAATTTATATGAAGCAATGATCACAACACCCACATTTATATTAGCAAATGTATCCAAAACAAATGCCCAAAAGAGAATAAAACAAAATGCGAAGGTAGAATTTTGATAGTCACTGGAAATAAGAGGTATGTAAACTGCACAAAGTAATTTTGTAAGAAAGAGATAAATTAATATGTCATATATATAAATATACTAAACACACAGAAAACATATTGAAGAACACTAAAACATAAATAATGGTTACCTGCAGGGTGGTAAAAAAGGGAGATGAAAGGATACACAAAGAATGAAAAAAATACCCCCCCATTTTATTTATATATTTACGCATGTTTGAATCTTTCACATCAAAAAAGAATGTACTTATCACTTGTGAAATAAATAACTATGTAATCTATGTAAAATATATTCGTAAAGCTCAAAAATGAATCTGGATATGTTTACACAATAACCTGTTCACAAATGTTCATAGCAGCATTGTTCTTAAGAGCAAAAGGTAGACTAAACTGTCTGTGAACTGAAGAATGGATAAATAAAATGTGGTATATCCATATACTGGAATACCATATTTAGCCATAAATAGGAATGAAGTACTGATACACGCTACAACATTGATGAACCTTAAAAACATTATGCTATGGAGAAAAAGCCAGTCACACAATACCACATGTTGTATGATTCCATTTATACAAAATGTCCAGAACAAACAAAGCTGTAAAAACAAAAAGTAGATTGGTGGCAGTAAGCGACTAGAGAAGAAAGGAAATGAGGAATAATATTAATATAGGTACAGGGCTTCTTTATGGAGTGATGAAAATATGCTAAAATTATAATTCACAACTCTGAATATACTAAAAACCACTGAGTTGTATTATTTAAAGGTAGATTATATCTCCATAAAGCTATTACCAAAAAAGTGAATCTGAAATGATCTAATTTTAATATATATCAGATTTTTAAAATAAGTCTAAATTTGTCTTAGGAAAATCATTTTCTGTTTTTGTTTTTGAAGAAAAATTTCATTTAGTGACCACGGTCACAACAAGGTTTCAAATACTAGCTGAAATGATTTAACAAAATAAAACAAATTTCCATGTTAACAGGATAAACTTAAAAGATACTAGTATTTGTTTTATTTAATAATTCAGTTTTCTGATGGGTTAAAATAGCCTAAAAGTACATATACTTAAATGTAAGCACTAATAAATGCTGGGGACTGGCATATGCCCTATCTCAAATACCTTACAGCTATATCTGCATTATGAAGGATAACATGTAAGAAAAACTGTACTATCTGTAGGGAAAAAAATTTAAATTATTATTGCCTTGGCCACCCCTCTTGCTTTCTGAGACAGCCCACATTCTGTCTATGGAATGTGTATCTGTCTAAATGAACTTCTACTTAAAAAAAAAATATTTTCCTTTCTCTTAATCATTACTAAAGATGATACAATAGAAACATTTCCTAATATAAAGCCCTTAGAACAGTTCCTGGCACATCTTAAGCACTTATTAAGTATTAGCTCTAGCAGTAATTAGCTATGATAATTAATGTTACTGATATAATAACAAAAAGAAAGCATAAAAAAGAAATTATTTATCTTAGTTACTCCTGGTTTCACTTAACTACTTGTCAACTCTATTTTCGTATTACCATTATCCTTTTCAGCTTCAATAATTATATTAATCCTAAACTATTAAATTATTTACATTAAAACAGTAGTTCTCCAAGTGTGGTTCAGGGATTGTGGGGATTCCACAGACCCCTTAAGGGGGTCCATGAGATCAAAATCATACATAGGTAAAAGATCAATTCAAAATGCAAACAAAACAATGAATTTTATTTATTTTTTTTTGCAGGGGATGAGGGGGAGGTACTTAGGTTACTTATTTATTTTTTAGAGGAAGTACTGGGGACTGAACCCAGGACCTTGTGTATGCTAAGCATGTGCTCTACCGGTTGAGCTATACCCTCCTCCCCAAACCCCAGACCAATGAATTTTAATGCAACATTGTACGGAAAGTACACAGGTATGGTTTCAGATTCCACACTGCAACTAACCTTTAAGAAACTACTATTTGTTGCGTTCTGTTGCAGAATCAAAGAGTATCACAATTATCTGAAAATGTTATTAAAGTACTCCTCCCAACACATCTGTGAAGCTGGATTTTCTTCATATACTTCAACCAGAACAACATATAAAGATTGAATGCAGAAGCTGATAGAGAATCCAGCTGTCTTCTATTAAACCAAGCATTAAAGGGATTTACAAAAATGTGAAACAGCTGCCATTCTTTCACTAAATGTTTGTTTTGGAAAATAGTTGTTTTTCATTTAAAAAATGTTATTTATATTAACCTGTAATTATCTTATTAGTTATTTTTTCAATGACTTAATAAATATATTTAAGTTAATTTCATAGACAATAACTATCAATAGATATAAGCCATATAAACAAAAGCCATTTAGAGTCCTATATAATTTTGAGAATGTAAAGGGATCCTGATCAAAAAATGTGAGACCACTATATTAAAGTAATACTTAAATAACTGTATCACTATCCTGTACACCAGAAATTAACACAACATTGTAAATCGACTATCCTTCAATAAAATAAATAAAATACTTAATAACCCATTTTTATTTATATTCTGAGTTTTTATCCTGTGACTCTTCACATATGCAGCCATAAATGTTTAAAGAAAGCTGAAGAGAGTAGATGACATAAATATATCTTTCTCCAGGTGTTCTATAACACAATTAAGCATAAAATGTAGCTCCCTCAAAAAAGACAAGACAGGAAGGCCAGGTTAACAGAATGATGTGTTTGTTAAAAGTAACCATGGTATCTGTAACACAAAACTTGTGCAGAAATAGAGCCAAAGAATTTTGTGTCCCAAAACAAGGATGCACAGAAAAAGTCTAGGCTTCAGAAGGGTTAACAGAGTCCTTAAGTAAATTATGTACGGTAACAATTTTACTGGAGTTGACTTCTAACTACCATCTAAACTTCTAATCACCTTCAGTAGAGGTTATTCAAAGAATTCTATGTGCAACATAAAGCTGCTAACAAAACTCATGAAAAAATATTTAACTATTAAAAAATACATTGTAGAATGCTAGTCTCCATTATTAGAATAAATACAGTCAGCTCTGTGCTGTAATGAATTACTAAACTTAAAAGGGCCATCCAGCAAAAGGGTTAGTTATCAGTATTCATTAATTAGGGTCCTTTTTCAGTTCTGCAAGCATCATTCATAGATTTAAATTCCTAGCACAAAATCTTTTCGGGGTGGATGTTTTAAAAAAAATTACTTTTTCATTACATAATTATAATACTAATCAATGAGAAATGACAGCGTATTTTCCTCACCCAGGAATTTGTAAGGTGGGCAGAAGCTCATAATGCAGGGCGTTTTGTTCTGAGAAAGGTACTTCCAAAAGTCACACATCTGACCTAAGGAGCATATACTACATTCGGCCTAAAAGAGAGAAGTGTCTCTGTTACAGTTTTCTCATTTCCTCACATGCTCTAGGCTTAAATTTGCGGCTTCCAAAATAAGCACTTTTCAAGCACTTTTCGTCCTACTCTTCTAATTTCATGGTGAGAATTTTTCAGTTTTACAAATTAAAAAATGTTGCACTAGTGTTGGTGCCTTGTGTAAAGCAGAAACCAATCAAAAGAGGCTGAATATAGCAGAGTTCAGGGCATCCAAAATGTCTTAAACTGAAATCAATGTTTTATACAGGTTTTAAGAAAATATTTAGGTGGGAAAAAAACAAAACACACCCACATTCTACTGTTCTACTAAGTAGCACTCTTTTATTGATTTCTGCAAAGGCTACTTATCGACATATCACTTGATAACACTATTTACCGTGACCTACAATTACTTCCTGCTGAAAGAATCCCTTTTCAGCTATCCAAAGGCTACAGAAAACAAGGTTCACAGTACTTCTCAAACCTCAGCGATTTAACTCCTTCCTCCTCCCCCCGCCCCTTCTCCCGGAAAATACAGTGCGTGCAGGGTTTTCAGAACTCAACATTTGGGGCTGGGGGAAGGGTAGGTTGAGAGTGTGGGAGTGTCCCCCAATTTTTGGACATGATTATCTATCCCATTCTGCCTGAGTAAAACAAACCTTCGTTGTAAAATAATCTTATGGACAGTGGTAAAAACCGTGGACTCAATTCCCTTTTGCTCTCATCTCTCTTTACAAACTTCACCATGGCCGTCAATGCACCCATACTCCAGAGCAGCCCTACCTGTGCCCAGACCCTCTTGTCCGACCAGAATTACTCTATGACCTTGGAGCCGAGCCACGGCTCCCCTCCCAGGCTAAGGACTGTGAAACCAGGATCCCCGCATCCCGCCCCGCAGACTGCAGAGCCTCAGGGTTCACGCCGGGTCAGCGGGTGGCGGCGGGGCTGGGGAGCGAGCCGCAGAACCGCAGCTCCGCGAGGACCGGAGAGGAAAGACGCCGGGGACGCGGACAAGGCCCGGGACTACCTGAGGGCCAGGGCCGACACCGCCCCAGCCGTCGCAATGGCTGCACGCCACCCTCGGGGTCTGGAAGCCCGCGCGGCCGCCTAGGAAGCCCAGGCCTGACCCCGTTCTCGGCCACGGCCCCCTATTATCTCTGACTGCCTAGCGGGCCGCCCGCAGGTGATGCGCGGACTGGGCAGCCAAGCCGCGCAGGCTGGTTGCCTACCTCAGGGGACCGCGTCTCCGAGACGCCCACTCCCTCCCAGGAGCGCCGGGACCCGGGGAGGAAGAGGCGTGCGAGGCAACACGACACAGAGGGTGGGACAGGAAGGGGGAGAAGCGTCCGGCTCTCCGGCGGGGCTGGCAACCGGGAAGGAAGAGCCGGCGGCGGGGAAGGTCGGGACGCTAGCGTACCTTCCTCACTCCTGGCCGAGGGTCCGAAGCGAGCCAGCAAAACGTCTCACATCCGGGTATCAGGAGGCACTCAGCTGCTTCTGCCGCCACCTCCGCCTCTCCCGCAGCGCAGAAACACCAAACTTCCGGCGACGCCGGCGAAGCCTCGCCCGTCAGATGGGAGTCACCTGGGACCGTCTTGGGCGCGCCTGCGCAACGTTCCTCTTCAGCCCGAACTGACGTGCCCCGACGACGAAGATGGCCGCCACGCTCGCTGCGTGTCACGCAGTTTTTCACGCGGGCCGGACCGCCCGGCATCGGGAAAAGGCGAGCCGGCGTCCGACCGCAGCGCAGGCGCAGTGGGAGGCCGGGCGTGCGCGCACCGCGGGTGGGCGCCGCGCCCGGAAGCGGCGGCAGCTGGCTTTCCCCCGGTAGTGTCTTGGAGAAAAGCCACCGGCGCCCTCGGCGGTGGTGGTTTGTGGTGAAGCTGCGTCGCTACCGGTTCATCTGTCGGTTGCGGATACTGCCCTCTGCGACTTCTAATTCACACCCCCCTAATCTTCGACATGTGGCAGTGTAAAGAAAAGGCGAGGCGGTCGACCCTTCTCTCTCCTGACCCGACCCTACACTCCAGCGCCTCTCCGAAATGTAGGGCTTCGGCTTCTCCTTGCACACTTTCCTCCCTGGGCGTCAGAGCACAAGCGTCCACAAGAAGGTGTAGATTTAGTCATGGTGGGTGTTCAGGCAAAGCTTTGGCTCTTAGAAGACGCTAAAGATAGAATACAGGTTTCTCTGACTATGATTCTTGGCTTCCCAAACTGCTTTATTATTTTTTAATTTAAGTATATAGTCAGTTATAATGTGTCAATCTGTTGTACAGCGCAATGTCCCAGCCATGCGTACACACAGACATTTTCGTCTTCATATTCTTTTTCATTAAAGGTTATTACAAGATACTGAATATAGTTTCCTGTGCTATACAGAAGAAACTTGTTTTTTTTAATCTATTTTTATATGTAGTAGTTAACATTTGCAAATCTCAAACTCTCAAATTTATCCTTCCCCACTCCCTTTCCCCTCTGGTAACTGTAAGATTGTTTATTGTGTCTGGGAGTCTGTTTCTGTTTTGTAGACCACACTGCTCTTGAATATGCCTTCAGGGCTGCTCTTTGCTTACTTGCAGAACTCTGAGGGTGACTAAATGAGTACTCTTCCCTTTGAAAATCTGAAGAGAAGCGATCTTAGGTGGGTTCTCCCCTTCCTGCCAACCAAATCGTACTATAAGTTTGTGAGTGATGTTTGTCTGCTGAGGATACATCGTCCACAAAACTTTATTGACTGGGGAAATTCTGTGAGAGATATTGGTGGTGAAACCATTGGCCACATCATCATACATTGTGTTATTTGGCAAAAGCCTACTCGCTCCCATCCCCAGTCCCTGATACATTCATTTGACCCTTAATCAACACAAGTTTAAACAAGTCCACTTTTACGGGGATTTTTTTTTAAATAATAAACACTACAAACAACAACAAATAATAATAATAAACACTACAGTACTAAACAATCATCATCCGTTGGTTAGTGGAATTGGAGGATATGAAATTGGGGATACGGAGGGGCAACTGTAACTAATGTATGGATTTGCCACTAAGCAGAGGGTCTATTTCCCTAACGCCAGAGTTGTTCAAGGGTCAATAGTGTACTATAATGGCATATGCCAAAAGTCTTAAATGGGGAGAAAACTCTGGAGTAGATTGCCAACCAGGTTAAAGCTGGTTATCTCCCAAAGTATCTGACCTATATTTGCCTTCACTTTTAGATTGTTAAAACAATTTGTAGGATTTCTTTTTGTGTGGAAACCACTTTATCTTTAGTAACAAACTCTGGTAACAAACTCTGGCATACACAAACCATATTTACAAGTTTCCATTCCCACAAAATTGGCCTCTGCTTCTATATGATCTATTCCACTATACTTGGGAATCCTTACAAATGTCACACCATATGAAATCATATGTATTTTTGATACATAAGACATTCATATTTGATGTATTATTCATGTCTGCCAATTTTTCAGGATTTTCTTTTCTAAAACTATACTCAGCTGTTTAAGCATGCTGTGAAAATACAAAATAGCTTGCTTTCACGGTGCTGTATTATAAACGTCAAAGTGTGTTCATTTGATTTTGTTGTCTACTAAAAAACATGATCAACTGAATAAATTATCTTGCTAGACTGAGCTTTCAAAGATCATATAAGCTCACAGTGAATTTGTCCTAGTAAAAGGAAAGGCCTCCATTCCAGAGAGCACCTGCAAATGCAGAGGAGAGCTGTGATTGGTTCATTTTTCACCATGTGCACATGCTAAAAACAAATGCTGTGGCCTAGATCATGCATCTTGGTGCTCAACATTATGGTTCTGTAAATTTTGAACTTTTTCGGAACCCTACACAAAGAACTATGCGCCCCCTACTTGTAAATTCTCTTGCTAAACTCAAAATTGTGAATGCAGTTTCCTGAATCTGTTTAAATTGTTTTCCTTGCTGACTCCAAATTGCAGCATGTACTTTTTTGCACTTGCTTATTTTTAGGACATCGACTTCTGAAAATAATGGAATAGTTGCATTGCCCCACACATTGCATTCTCATTTCCTTGTTCTTTTTCTTTCTTATAACTAGTCTAAAAGCCTGTAATTTATAAAACCTCTGCTAACTCGCAGGAGACAGAGTAGTCTCACCTTCAGACTGACCCTCCTGCTAGCAGCAAACAAAGGCTTTTTCCATGTTGCTCCACTCTTGCTGACTTTCTTCCAGGACTCTTTTTTTTTTAATTAATTGGACGGGGAAGAGGTAATTAGGTTTATTTATTTTTGGAGGAGGTACTGGGGATTGAACCCAGGACCTTGTGTATGCCAAGCATGTGCTCTACCAATTGAGCTCTACCCTTACCCCCTCTTTCAGGACTCTTGACAGTTTTATACTATGAGAGAGTAAAAATCATTATTAAAAAAAAAAGCAAGCTAGAAAGTAAAAACAAAAATTACAACAACTTGGTATCAATCAACTAACAATGACATTTCATTTTGCCATCTTCCAGGAGACCCACACTAACACATTGACTAATCATTCTAGCCCCACATACCTGAGAGGGAATGAGTAGATGTTAGCCAGATTGAAGTACTGAAAGTACAAAAATCTGGAGAGGAGAGTGAGCTTGATGGATTGTAGCAACTTTATCAACCAAATTTATCAAGATAAATTTGTATGTTGATTGAAAAAGCAAGTAGAGAGGGAGGAACTGATGATTCAAGTTGAAGAGGTTAACTGAACAAGTGCAATTCTTGAGAAAATGAGAGATGGGATCCAGACTATGAGGAAGAGGAATTTGCCTTCAAAAGGAGCAACAATACATCTACCCTTGTCACAGATAGGGGAACAGATGGATGGCTTCTGTTTTCTCAAAGTGGGAAACATTAGTGATTTGGGGGAGGGACTGTGAAAGGTTTTAGAGGGAGAGAAGAAAGTACGAAAGAGTTTGTGAGCTTATTAAAGAAACATAACACCATCTCTGTGCAGTGTAGGGTACCGTTTTGAGGTTTGTGACCAGAATTTAAAGTAAAAATAATCAGTTAAATTGTATGATTTTCTTCAGGTACATTAAGTAATGCTAAGATTCCTGGTGTTGGGACAGAATTAGCCTGGTTCTCTGGGCTTCTCCCAGAAGTTCCCTTCATTCATGGGTATGTTTGCTGCATAAAATACACCGAACCTGCCATGCCCGCAATTGGGATTTCATCTCCTAAAACCTCCCTGTTAAAAGGAACTTCCCTCCTAAACTAGCCCTAGAAGCCCTCAACAGTTGCAAGGCACACCTCCAGCCGCCAGTGGGCGCAGTGGCGCTCCTCGAAGCCGGAAGCGAGTGTGCCAAGCGCGGCCTCGACGTTTCCGCCGTGCGTCTTCAGCGCCCCGCGCGCTCTTTACATCGGAGCGCAAGGAAAAAGCGTTTCCGGCCATTCATACTGCCAGCCGGTCGGCCCACGGTTGTCGGGGTTTGTGCGTTATTGGGCCGAAGGGGTGCCGGCGCCGCGAGGATGAAGCTCGTGAGGTGAGGAGGTGACCAGGCGGGGTGGAGACGGTCTGGGCCGGGAGCGAGAGGCTGGGCTGCCCCAGATTTAAGAAGCGCGAAAACCGCGTGCGCGCGCGGCCTCCTAACGGCCTCTGGCGCCCTCCGCTCCCGCCCCATCTTGGCGGCGCCGCCGCGGGCTCTGGGACCGGGGCTTCAGACTGGCTTCCTCCGGGGATCCCACCTGTCTTTCAAGAGGTGGAAGTAAGGGCCAGGCCGTGTCTTCCCACCTAGTGTCTTAGAGGCCTTAAAGGTGCGGCGCCAGGCTTACAGCTCTTACTTTCGGTTACTTGCCGACTTTCATTTCGAGTAGAACTTGTGCTCTAGTCTGGGTTACTTTTCTGACTCAGGAGCCGGCAAATATAACTAGGCCTACGATGCCTGAGAACGTGGGAGACATAAAGAAAATCTGTATCCATGCGTAAATAGTTTAGATTAATACTTTTTTTTTCTTTGATTAAACTACCATCGCACTTAAAAGATTATTTAGACGCTGTAGTGGGAAATAAGCTGTATCTGGAAATAACGAAACACAATTACAAAATGTTTTAAATCAGGGGTGGACTTCTGACTCCGTAAGTTGTTGTTTTAGTGGTGGGTTTTTTTTTTTCTTTGTTGTTACTCCCTAGACTTAAGGTTATTCAGCCTACACACCCCCTTTAAAATAGGCCTTCGATTTAGGAAAAATCTCCCAACTTGGGGTAGAATCACTTTTCCGTATTTTTTGGCTGATTATACAGATAATGGTACGTTTTTATTTCTTCCTGTGTTTAACTTGGTCGGTTAGTTGAGCCTACAGAAGACTTATTTAGTGGTTTGGGTATCGAACTTTACCAAAACCTCAGAAAGTTTCCTCAAGCCCTTCCTAGTCGGTCTGTCGTCCCATAGCCCCAAAGAGAACTGGTTTCTTCCACCATAGCTTAACTTGCACTGGATTTCATATGGAATCTTAAGAGTATGCATCCTTTTTGTGTAAAATTTCTTTTCCTCAGCATATTTTTGAGATTCATCCACCTTGTGGTTTGTATCGGTAATTTGTTTCTTTTTATTGATGAATAGCTGTACACTTTACGTTTTAAAGTTATACGTTTTAAGACTGCTTCGTACATTTCATTTTTGTGCAAGTCTTTTTTGACTTTTTGTGTGTGTGTGGTGGGGGTAAATACTTAGGATTGGAGTTGCCAGATCATAGCATAGGTATATATTTAGTTTCATAAGAAAGTGCCCAGACTGTTCTCCGAAATGGTTGTGCCATTTTCCACTCCTACCAACAGTATGTTAGAATTCCAGTTGCTACACACTCTCTCCAGCATTTGTTGTTAGTTACATTTTAGCCATTTTAGTGTTTGTGAAGTGGTGTATTGTTATGTCTTTAATTTGCATTATCCTAATGATTAATGATTTTGAGCACGTTTTCACCTGTATGGTGGCCATTAGTATATATTTGTGACATGTTTCCTTTTGATCTTTGTTTCTTTTTATTACTGAGTTGTAGGAACCTTTTATACAGCCTGCATACTAATCCTTGGTCAGATATAGTTTCTCCCAGTTTGTGGTTTGCTTATTCATTTCCTTAACAATGTCTTTTGGTGAGCAGTTTATTTTGAGGCAGTCTTAATTGACCAGCTTTTTCTTTTGTGATTATTGCTCTCTATGTACTGTCAAAAAAATTTTTCTTACTCTTGAACCATGTAAAGTTATTCTATGTTTTCATTTAAAAACTTCATATTTTTAACTTTTATGTTTAGGTCTGTGATCTTTCTGGATAAGTGATGTGAAGTAGGGGTCCAGGTTCATTTATCTATATGGGTTTCTAGTTATTCCATATTATTGTGGAATATAAATCCCCATTATTATGAATTTCATCATTTATTGAAAAGGCTTTCCTTTGCCCTGGCAGTCCCATTGGACCATAGTAGAAAATTGACTACGTAAATGTGGGTTTGTTTCTGGACTGTATTCTATTTCATTGATCTGTTTGTTGTTCCTATGTATTGATTACTGTAACTTTATATACTGCTCTAGCCACCTAATTTGTCTTCCGAGGTGAATATGACCATGGCATTCTGCTCCATTGATGAAAACCCTTCAGTAGTTCTCCTCAGTGAAATTAAACAGAGGTACTGGGAATTGAACCCAGGACTTTGTGCATGCTAAGCATCTACTCTACCAGTAAATATTGTTTATAAAAAAAAAATCCTTGGACTTGATGAAGTGTATTTTGATTGTTTCAGAGGCCTTTTTGCTTACTTTCTGGTTTTCCTTTTATTTCTATATGATAGACTGCTTGATCACTAAAGTATTTTATTTTTACTTGAATCCTGCCTATTTCTAAACATGATTTGAAAGAAATTTTATAAAAAGTAAAAGTATTGCTGAATGGGACAATTAAAGTAAAATTTTTAAAAATTGATAATGGCAAGGAACTATTAGTTAAAAATTCTAAGCTAATATAGTTATACATGGTTATTAAATTTGCAGCTAAGTTAAAGAATTCTTGTCTGGTGAAATAAGCATTACCAATTCATTAAGAGACTTTTTCCTTGACAGCAAATATGGACAAGAAAGGGATTCAACACATGGTTCTTTCTTGTTTGTTTGTTTGTTGTTTTTTTGTTTATTTCTTTATTATGAGTACAAGTTTAGGATTTATCCTAGACCAAGTAATTTCTCCTTTTTCTGATGGCTGTCTATACCAATTAAAAAGTGTTTTAAGGCTGGCTTCCCTTTAATGATTGAAACATGTCAGCCAACTCTTATTTAGTGCCTGTTACAAGCCAGGATTAGATATAAAGCTCATTGAGATCCTTATGCTCAACAATAGTCTAGTGGAGGAGGTGGAGTGGGAAATAGGTGATCCTGTTTGGAGTCATAGATGCTATGATAGGGTGTACAAAGTACCTCCTATACACCAGGAATTTTGAATATGAACTGCATATTAGGTCATATTGTAGGATTATTGTTCATTTTCCTAGATAAGAGTGTGATGTATTAAGGTTATATAGGAGAATGCCTTCATTGGAAAATGCATGCTGAGGTGCCTGCAGTTTGCTTGCAGATTATTATGGTGAAAGTGTAAGTTGTGTGTTGGGGCAGAGGAAACACAAATGGTAACATTTTAACAACTGTGAACCCTTCAACTTCGTCTGTAATGTTTCATAATAAAAAGTAGGGAGCAGAAGACTGGATCCGAAGTGGGGAATGGACAAGTATTCAGTTATTGAGGCACCTGGCTATCCAATTAAGGAAGATCAGAAAGGCAGGCTCCTACCTCACATTGCACAGATTAACAGAACAAATATAGAAATATCAGGAAGAGACAGTCGACAAGTAATAGGGAAAAGTAAATTGCCTTTTTTCCCCTATCAAATCGACCAAAAAAAGATTGGTGACAGTGTTGGTGAAGATTTGCATAAGTGAACTTGCTGAGGGTTTGCATAACTATCGCTAATATAAACTGCTAAATGAGAACTAAAAGTTATAGAAGCCATTAAAGTATGGCCTGATTAATGTAAAAGTAAATCTTAAGTAAATGCTTATAATTGAATAAAATGGTCTAGAAGAATATCCCCACATACATGGAGGGAGTTAGAAAAGGAGACTTTTATCTTATTTATACACATACAATAAGTGTATAATCTTTTACCAATTATAATTTAGCCTTATTTTGTTTTTTTCATTGTTGTTGTTAGATGCAGTTGACATACGGCACTGTAAGTTTAAGGTGTACAGCACAATAAATTGACTTACCTACACTGTGAAATGATTACCAAACTAAGTTAACATCCATCATCTCGTATGTATACAAAAGAAAAAAGAAAAAAATGGATTTTTTCCCTCATGATGATAACTTTTAGGATCTAGTCTCTTAGCAGTTTTCAAAGCATACCATACAGCAGTGTTAATTATAGCCATCATGTTGTATGTTGCATCCCCAGTATTTACATATCTTATAATTGGAAGTTTGTACTTTCTGACCACCTTTATCTATGTAATTTCTTGATTTCGATTTTGTGGCTTATAATGACTTCAGGATCTGTATGAAGACCTAGATGGCTCAGAGGTTAAGTATATAATGGCTTAGAGAATCAGAAATGCCCAAACGACAGTTTCTGTTATGCTCCTTCATTAATGTTAAGGGTATCATTCAGAGAAAGCCGAAATTGTTATGCAGATTATTAATAGGAATTGATGCAGATGGCATCTGTAGCTGATTATCAACATCTAGAAATTTCATCCTTTGACTTAATAAACATGTTTTTAAAGTGTTGAACATTTATCATTTTATTCCTACTGTCTATAGATTTTTGATGAAATTGAGTCACGAAACTGTAACCATTGAGTTAAAGAATGGAACACAAGTCCATGGAACAATCACAGGTATGGAGGTTGGACTACATTAACACCTTTTTTCTTCCTCTTTCACTTGGAGGCCAGAACTCTTTGTTTGGTTAATGAACATTATATAGTACAAATCACCTTCCTTTTATCTGGATTATTTTGCTTACCTTACTTAAGCCTCACCTTAAGTTCCTGAGCTAAGACCAAACTGGATTCCCCACCTTAAATGTGTGCACTGTTTCCCTGCTTTTATGCCTTTTCTGCTTTTGCCTATATCTGTCCCCTGGAATGTTGCATCTTCCAAAATACATATTACTTTTATTAGAATGTTGTCTTTCCTGTTAGATTATAAAGTCCTCGAAGATAAGAGGATGGGGTTTCCATGTCTGATTATCATGGGTAAAAAATATGGGAGAAATGGGGAGAGGGTGGTGAGGACCCATGATTTTACTTAAGACAGTCACTGTTAGCATAACTTTTTAGAGTATATTCTTTGTCTTTTTTCTTATGTGTCTAATTCTTTGCTTTGATGATACTCTATGATATGCTGTTTTATACTTAAAGCCATTGTGATTTTTCACTCGTAGTAGGTGTAAATTTTTCAAAAGAATTGATGAAAGAAAATGCTGTCCTAGCATACAGTCCCATTCTACTCTCTGAAATACTTAAATTGTAATTTTATGAATAGTTGTTTAACGTGTAGATCCAGCATCAGAGTGAACAAGAGAAATATACAGTATTGAACTGGTGGTTTTGATACAGTCTAATCATATCTGAGGAAATGGAATTGCTGTCCTGTTAAAATTTCATGATTTAAACAGTGATTTAGTCTGCTGTATTCTGAGGCCTGTGTTACATGTTGTGGAGGAAGCAGAGTGTTCTTCCTGCTTTTTAGGAGCTCAATCTACTGATGGAAGACACAAAAATAATGTAATGCAAGATTTGCCTCACATACAGTAGGCACTTAAATGATGTCCCAGGAGGAAAATATCAGTAAATCGGGAGAGTGAAATCTAGTAAGAATTTAATCTCCCCTCGCCGCCACTCCCTATAACTACTGTTACAAGTTTCTTATATCCTGTATGAATATATGTTTTAGTCCTCACAATAGGGATAATCATACTGTCTACCTTAGGGACATTGAGGATTAAACAGTTCCTGGATCATAGAAGGAGCTCATGAATCTTATTTCTCCCTCTTCCTTGTGTATCAGGTTCCCCAGTGAGATTGAATGTATTAATTTTGGGAAAGAAGAAGATAGAGAATTAGTAATAAGATCAGTAAATCTGAGGTGAAAAGTTGAGAGAATTCATGTTTTCTGGTCTTAACATTCTAGGGACAGAAATAAAATAGATCTTAGTTATCCTATTTGTTGAGACATGCTGGTAAAGGCTCCAGTAATCAGGTATTCCTACTATAGTGCCATATATTCATCCAAGAAAACCTTGCTTTTATTTTGTAGAATCTCATACTAAAAATAGTGGCATAATTGAAAATATAGTCTGAGGCAGACCACTCAAAACCTGTGCAACTTGGTAATCAAAGTATTAACAAAAACAGTAACATTCTTTTTTTTAAAGCATAGTTTATAAGATATATCAAATTCCTAATAAGGACAAATACCGCAATATATATAGGACTTTAGTTTTTAAACAAAGATGAAGAGAGCTTGGGGGAATGGGGTGTAAGTAGTTACGGAGACAGTGGGAGAGCCACGCAGTAAGCACTGCCCACCCTGAGATAGGAGGCGGACACATGGGAACAGTAAGAATAAGGCATGTGTACCAGGCAGGGTTCCTGCATGGCTTGCTGTAAGCTCACCTAACTCTGCAAAACAACATGCTAGGGAAAATCTAATGAAGGAAAGACCTGATTTATACTGACATCATTACCAGTTGTACTAAGTTGTACTAATTATGCTAAATTATGTCATAGAAACTTGCACTGTAGCAGAACAGACAGAACTCTTCTACAATGTGGTACTAACTGTGGCCTGATAGATTAATTGGTTGCCTTCCTTATTCTCATAATTGCCTTCTTTTTTCCCTCTAGGTGTAGATGTCAGCATGAATACACATCTTAAAGCTGTGAAAATGACCCTGAAGAACAGAGAACCCGTACAGCTGGAAACACTAAGTATTCGAGGAAATAACATTCGGTATTTTATTCTGCCAGACAGCTTACCTCTGGATACACTGCTTGTGGATGTTGAACCGAAGGTGAAATCTAAGAAAAGGGAAGCTGGTAAGTTTGAAGGATTACAGATGCTCTTGTGTATGGTATAGTTATATCCTAAGCCACTATTCAAAATATAAACATTTGCAGACAGCACAGGTTTGTTTTAATTGCCTATATCTGCCTTGAGCATAGTTTCTTACAGTTCCTAATGTTGCTATTAAAAAGACTGATGCTGTTCTTTCTCCCTGTCCCTTTGTGCATAGCCTGGTCCCCTGCTCCCTGCACACTTTGGAAGGTTTGGAGATTGACTCTTTATTCCTGGTATTCTGAAACTTCTTAATGACTTGGCATTTAGTCCATTTTGTTTTTCTGGGTACTTGGTGGACCCTTTCAGTAGGAATATTCTTGCTTTTTAGAGCTAAGAAATTTACTTGTGTAACTGATAGATTTCTTCTGTTTTGCTTTTTTTCCCCCTGGAATTCTTAATAATTGGATTAAGATTATTTCTTAAGAAGAATTCTGACTGATTTTGAGTCTTTTCTCTTATTTTCCTGTCATTGTCTTTTGTTCTGTACTTGGCATTGTTTGTTTTTTTCTGGCTTCTCTTTTTTTATTTGATCTCTTTATTTGGTATCTTGTGCTTTGACCATCTGTTGCTTAAGAAGGACCCTGAAAAGAGAACTTCTGGGAAGGGAGGCTGGACTCCTTAGCTGGTAGTCCCTACTGTGGGACGGTTCAAAATGAGTTGGCTTCTTCACTGAGGAGACCCAAAATTTCAGGACCTGGAAGTCTTTTCTGGAGCTGACTTTCTCAGAAAAAGATTCTAGTCACCTACCAAGAGAGATATATGCCTGGCAGCCAGCATTATAGGAGCAGGGCAGGAGAAAAGGACTGGTATTAAAGTGGTCACTTAACACAATGATTTTTGAGACTTTTTTGCCTTCCACCCACACTAAGAAATCTACTTTGCATCATGACCCATTCATACATATAAATGAAATGAAAGTCTCAGGAAGAATTATTTAGTCTTAATACATGCAGATGCCCTTAAATTTCCTGTCCTATTCTCTTTATCTTTTTGTTTTGTTTTGTTCTAGGGGGGAGGTAATTAGGCTTGTTTATTTATTTTTAGAGGAGGTATCAGGGATTGAATCCAGGACCTTGTGTATGCTAAGCATGCGTTCTACCACTGAGCTATACCCTCCCTCCATTCTCTTTCAGTTAAAAAAAATTTCAAGTTGCCACACATAGCTTGAAAAACACTGACTTAATCCCCCTCTTCCTTCCCTTCTGCTCTGCTTTTTGCTTCCATCCACTTTGCAAGTGTTTTCAAATCTGAAGCCTTTGTGCTTCAATGTCTTTAGGTTAATTTTATCTTTTCTCTCTACCTACCTGTCAGGGAAATAATCATTAATTTTGCAAAGTGGGGAAGAGGACTGGCCAGTCTACTGCTCTGGATGAGGACTGTTTTACGAGAAACTTACTCTATTGCTTTGAATGGTAGGACTAGGAACAATGGGTAGAAATGTCAGGATTTTTTAAAAAAATATTCATAGATGTCTAAAAATGAAAAGTTCTTTTGGGAGATGAGTTTTCTTTCACTGTGATATTCAAGTAGAGTTAGGATAACCAGGTGATAGGGAAATTGCTATATGGATTAAAGAGTTGAGTTATGATTAGATCAGATGACTTAGGATCCTGAAAAGTCATGAAGTTGTTATTTGATGTAATATGTGTTAAACTTTATTAGCTTTAAACAGCTTGTTTGGATTCTGTTCAGTAACAGCCTGGCACATAGTGTTTGTATTGATACACTGATACACATTGATATGATGTCTTTCATCTTGTGTGAGGTTCAAGTCATTTGTATTTCATTTTGTGAATTTGAGACATGATACAAAGAAAAAATATTTTAAAACGTGATAAAATTCTCAATAAATAAAATTAAACAAATATTATAATAAAGTATTAGTAGGCCAGCAGTCCTTGGTTCTGCATGATAATGGGTTGGAAAAGGTGACTGAGATTACATTTGAGAGAAGCTGAGTTAGTTTTCTTTACTATATAGATGCTGTTCATGGTGACCAGGTAACATCGGTGCAGAAGAGAATTTACCTTACCATTTTTCTCTTCCCTCAGTTGCAGGAAGAGGCCGAGGTCGAGGAAGAGGAAGAGGACGTGGCCGGGGCAGAGGAAGAGGGGGCCCTAGGCGATAATGTCTCTCAAGATTTCTGTTTCAAAATGATTTGTGACTTGGAAAACTTTTTGTACAGGTTTTGTTTGTGTGTGTCAGTTTTTAATAAACATAAATGTAGGACAGATTTGTCTACTGACTATCAAATTAAGTTTTAATAGTTCATAAATATACATGATGTTAACACAGTAAGAGCTAAACATTATTTCTAGGCAGTCCCAAAATAATTCCATTCTTAGATCAGGCTTTTACTTTTTTTGAACTAAAATATTTCCCCTATGAATATATGTAGAATATACACCTTTTTATTTCACATGCACTGAGTACACATTTTATCATTTTACTTTGACTCCATTCTGTGGAACCTTCCTGCAAGTGAAACGAGTTCTTTTTGGTACTTCAGAAGCTAAAGTCCTATGACTCTCCTGAGTTTTGTTCCATGGAGACTCAGGTACTCAGTGGAAGGTGAGTCATCTTCTAATTCAGGATTCATTGATTTTGTTGTCATTGTTAATGATTTTGTTTTGTTTCATTTTTTAATAAGTTCTCAGTAGAATACGATTTTGCAGTCTTCTCAGTTGAAACTGTAGATAATGTTCACTAGATTATCTTTTGTGAGCAGCGCTGAAACGTGTTAATGTGGAACGTACCTGTCATTGGCTCCTTTATCAAATACTTTTACAAGGTATCTTTTAAGAACAAAAGGAAGAAAACCTACTTTATTTGACAGCAAAACTGAATTCTTTCTCATCAATAAAGGTTTTTTGTTTTGTTTTGTTTTGTTTTGTTTTGTTTTGTTTTTGCTTTTGCTTTAATTGGTTAAATTTAGAGAAACACACTTCTCAGTGTATGGTTTCTCATAAAGCTTACTACCATTCATTTGTATGCTAAGGAAGAAAAACCTAACAGGATTGTGGTGAACTAAACCTGTATTTTCATTTAATCACATATGTGGGGTTTTGTTTTTAATGAGAAGGAAATTTTCTGTGAAGATCATCATCTAAAAAGTTTAGGCCTTGTAGGGAAGTATGTACATTGAGAGATCAAGAGCATTTGTGTGTGATGTATATGTGTGTGTATCTCATTCTTTTCTACCCTCTGTTGGTGCTTCTGTTAACTGAACGAAAGCAGAAAGCAAGGGAACCCAGTGATGCATCGAGGTGGAGAGGTTTGAAGGGAACAAACAGCATAAGTAGCGAATAAACAAATCTCCCCCCTCTCCAAAACTATATAGGATCTTAGTGCTGCTGCCTTTTGTACACTCATATCTTTTAGAGCCTAAAATTTTATTTGTGAAATTTGGGGGAAGGGGTAAAGAAATTAATTACGAGTTTAGATAGGAAACTAAGTGAAATAATAGAAAACCACTTTTGACAACATATTTTAATCTATTATAAGGTTAAAGCAAGAATGGCTTAGTATTTTAAAATGTATTAATACATTCAATAGTCAAAATTCTCATGATCCTCTATAATAGGTATCAGAATAACATTTAATACTGTACAACACTGATTCCTGAAAACTTAAAATGGACTTTCTTCATGTGAAAGGAATTTTCTATGTTAAACCAATAGCAGACATTTTCCAGAGACATTCCAATTAAAACAGCAACAAAAAAATTATGTCTGATAATTGGTCATCTTTATTTAATGTGAAAAATATTGTGGATTCACAAACTAAGAGGTATACATTTGAAAGAAGAGAAATTTTGCAGTATTTACTATTTTCTATGGTAGTGTCCCATTTGTCTGAACCAGTCTTCAAGTAAACTTTTAAGTTTTATGTATTTCCTGTATTTTGGGTAAGGTTACTATATCATGAGATTCCGTTTACAAAAGAGTAACAGCAAAGGCTCCAGGTACCGAATGCAGCAGGTTCTTGTCACTCACCGCTGGGTTCTGTACAGTTGCTGTGAGCCCTGACTTAGTGAGGTGAACCCACTGCTCCCAGGAGAGACACAGAGTTAGATTCCTACAAGCCTCTGATCACAGCATTTTCAACTCATCAGTACATAACTTCGTTTTATGTGTATTTTTTGTTTAAAAACACCTTATTTAACATAGTGTCATTTTCTAACACGTATTTTCTCCAAATGGCACATCACAGCCTTGTATTTAGATACACTAGGTAGACCAAGCTTGGGAGCCATTTTTAACAACAAAATCACCACCCAAAAGCGCAAAAATATCAAAAATGGGGCACTAAATAGACTACGAAAAGGACAGTTGTTTCTAGTATGCAACCTGAAACAAGAAGCAGTGTCGCTTTTTGTTCCAGCTCAGCTGAGAACAGCAGGCAGCACACCTGCACATCAGCTGGCTTTTTTGCTGCTCTAAAGTATGCATGGGCCATGCATGGACCATGGCAGCACCGTCAGTATTGATTTTTGAGTTAAAAGTAAATTTTAACAAGAAAGTGACTTGCCAACTACAGAATGATTAATGATGACCATACTTAACATATTTTAGTAAGATTAGCCAAAGTATTATATGTGTTTTGTTACTATAGTGAAGGATATCTTATCCTACTACTTGAATTCTAACCATTTCACCTAGTCTAAGATGGATTTTTAAAATGTGTTTTAATATGTCTCATACTGAGATGCATTTTAAATGATACAAATTTAGATTTTATGTGAAACTTAAATCAGCAAGCAAAACTGAACAGTACATAAAATAACAAGTACATCTAAAAATTTATGTCTTAGATTTGATGAGCTACAGAAATTATAGTGATTAATATGGCTCTTAAGTAGAGTCACACGAGTTACCATGACCACTTTGTCTTAAGGATAATATACATTTGTGAATCTGCAAGGGGATTTTCCATGTTTTCTAGAACTTTGTAATATTCCCCTTTGAGTGCTTGTGGAACAGTGGCAAAAGTCAGTTCTAGCTTTTTTAGAAAATTCCTGAGCCATAAAATTAAAAAAAATAGTACTATATTCCAGGATGGGAAGACTGACCAGTGTGTAAAAATAGGAATTCTCCCAAATTGTAGGTTTAGTGCAATTATCTTGGTGAGTTTTTAAATAACTTCTTTATTGATAGTGTGTCAACTAATATGTATTTAATGCTTATTCTGTCTGGTTGTTCTGATTATAGATTTAATGCAATTGCCAAAAGGATTTTTTATGGACAATATTAGTTAATACTCCTGTCATTTGACAAATATTTGAGTAGTTACTCTGCCAAGTTCTATGGGTTATTTCTTTTATGTATTATTTCTTTTAACTCTCAGAACAGCTCTGTAGCAGATAGTGTTTTCTGTCTTCAGAAAGAAAACTTACGCCCAGAGAGGTGGGGTATTGCCTAAAGTCCCAGTTTTTAAGTAGCAGAGCTAGAATTTAGACACAAGCCTCTGTCCAACAACCCTATGTTTTTAAGTGGTAAATTGGTTCCATGTTCATTTTGAAGAATGAAGAGGCTGTAGGAGATTCATCTTTTTCTAGAAAAGAAATAGAAAAGAGTGGGGGAACTTAACTTTACGAGATCCCAAACATTTTTAAATCAAAGGAAATTATCTTGATACTCATGCAGTTTTCAGCCAGATTTCATTTTTAATTTATCAGGTAATCTTTTTATAGTGCTTACTGCTATGAAAGTAGAAGACAATTTGGAGTAGGTTAATGGGAATGTAAACTGAAAAACTTGAAGCAGTTTAAGATACCTCAAAAGTCTGAAATTTTTTTCTGTACTTTGATGTAGGATTCATTGTGAAAATCCAAGAGGTTAGGGGAAGGTGGGTAGCTCAGTGGTAAAGCACATGCTTAGCATGCACAAAGTCCTGGGTTCAATTCCCCAGTACCTCCGTTAAATAAATAAACAAACCTAATTACCACTGCCCCAAAAATAAATAAATAATTGAATTTAAGGGGGAAAAGATGACAGAAGTTTAGTTATAAGAATGCTCATCATATTCTCAATTAAAAAGGAAAACAACTCTGTCCAAAACTAGAGGAATGGTTAAGTAAATCACCTACAGAATAAACCTGGAGTTACCAGACTTCTGTAGAGGGCCAGGTAGTAAACATTTTAGGCTTTGTGGTGCCATGTGGTCTCTATCATAACTCTTCAACTCTGCTCAAAGCAGTTTTAGGCAATAATTAGGTGAGTGGGCATGGCTGTGTTCCAGCAAAACTTTATCCACAAAAATAGGTAGAGGGCTGGATTTGCCTTGCAGGCTGTAGTTTGCCAACTGCCGAGATACACAATAAGCCATTGTAAAAGTGTTCCAGCAGTCCAGAGACAGGGAAAAGATACTTGCAAAGCATATGACCAATAAAGGATTTAATATCCAAAATATAAAGTACTTTTATATTAAATATACTTACTAAACTAAATGTTAATAATTATTAACCTATAACTTTATATAACTTAAATATATAATAAATATTAACTATATTTAATAAAATATATTAAATACTTAATATATATTATACAAAAAGATTATAAAATTCTTTAAATTAGTAAGAGATGATCCAAAAGAAAAGTGACTAAAGAACAGATAGGCAATTCACACAAGAAGGAAGTGAAAAAAAAAAAAAAGTGGGGAAAAAATGCCTAAAACCCCTAGAATCAGGGAATGCAAAATTAAAACTTGATGCACACTTAACCAAAGGGATATATTCAAGGATGTTACGATATTCTTTATAATAGTTAAAAAAAATTGTAACTACCTAAATATCCAATAGGAAGAGAGTTAAGTAAATTATTTATGTATACGGTAAACTAAATCAATCAGAATGAACTAGAGCTGCATGTCAACATCGATGAGTCTCGGACAATACTGACCAAATAATTCAAGTAGCAGAATACATATTCTATATAAACAAGGAAGATGCACACTGCATTTAAGCCTGCTGACGTATGCATTTAAAGTTTAGAGATGCGCACAAGAATGATAGATAAATTCAGATCAATCACTTCTGAGGGCTCGAAGGAAGGAGGGGAGTGTGACAGAAGAGGATGCATGAGTTTTAACTGGGTAATGTTCTTAATGTTTCTGACACTGGGTGATGGGTGTATTTAGGTTGAATCATGAAATTGCTGATATTTGATTGTTTTGCTCTATAAAAACCTCAATTTCATATGGTTCAGCTTACTGTTTTTGTATAAAATATTACATAATTTTCAAAGCTGTGCTTGAAAATTTGGCTAAAGGAAAATACATACTAACCTAAATACTGTCATTTCAGCTACACTCTCTCTGAAAATGACACTGGTGACTGTGGGCACAAGAGGTAGACATTTGCTGTATTTATCTTCGGTAAAAGTTAAAGCTTGTTGGAGGAGAGTTTCAGATGTCCTTGCACTGTCATCCTATGATGTGCCAGTAAATTTTTAACAATTGGATGCACTGCTGACTTCCTACCCTGGCAATTTCAAACTACCAACATGCTGTTAATCAGCTCACAACATTTTGGAAATTTTGACAACCTTCCCTTTTACGCTGGTACTGCACACCCTGACCATGTCCCCATACCAACCCCCTGCCCCCAGGAGGTGGGTGGGGAGGAAGCTCTTTTCTTTCTGTTCTGGCTCTAAGGACAACCAGCTCATTGTTTCTATTGGACTGGTAAGTTAGGCCTCTTTTGATATGGTTGGTCCTGACATAATGAAGCTGCAGAATTGGAGGAAGGTTTGGGGTAGTTTGTTGATGCAGGTCCTGGGAGTTAGAGTGATGGGAATGGAAACCAATACAACCTTCTGCTCTAAGTGGTTCATGAGTCTTTCTGGCCAGCTGGGTCTCAACTCCTGAGCTCCTGGAGTAAATTTCCTTGAGATCAACTACACAGGGCCAACCTATGTTCTCATCCTCTGAAGGCCTCTACAGTCCAAGGTTAACCCACCCTGCTACCTCTGGCTGCCCATTTTAGCAAAAGAAGCATATGGTCATACCTTTCACTTTAGTAAAGTTGTAAGTGTACTGAGGTGTTCACTGACATGTCTATTGAAGCACAGAATGACAAGAAAAATTTCCTACATGGCATTTGGAAATTGTGTTTGAACATGGCTATTTTTGTTGAACACTGGGAATCACACCCATGAAGAATGTGGGGAAACTGGCCATTTGAGAATAGGCACTGAGGATCCATGGAAGAATGACAATAAACAGCCATAGAATGTAGACCTTTAAATAGTATTTCTTCTTGGTGAACACCTCGAGATAACTTGTAATTGATAATGAAACTATATGACTGGTACAGAGAATTATATTATGGTAGTGTTGGAAGATATTCTGAGGTTCAAGTTAATATGCTAGAACAGCTGATTCTAAGTAATTTTAATAAAACTTTTTTCCTCTAGATTGTAAGCCTAATTTTTTTCTGAAATTTCATTAAAAATTTTTTAATACATTTTCATTGAAGCATAATCAGTGAGATTTCGTTTTTAAGTCTTTGAGCATGCTTGAATCTTTACTGACATTTGTTTTTTATATTTATTTTTATTTTACTTATTTACTTTTGGGGGGATATCATCAGGGCTACTTATTTAATATTAGTTTTGGGTTTTTTTTTTAATGGAGGTACTGGCGATTGAACCCAGGGCCTAGTGCATACTCAGCAGGCACTCTACCTCTTGAGTTATACCCTCCCCTTTACTGACATTTGGATTAA